CTCACGATTAATCAATTTGACAGCACTAATATATAACCATTAATTTAATACCATTTATAAATAATTTAATGTTCGTATATACACACACACACACACACACACACATTTTGAACTGTATACATTCATATAATTTCAAACCTAACAGGATGTTCAATAAAGTCAGTATTTTTTGTCAACTAGGAATGTTGTGAAAATAAATAAATAAATAATTACATTTTGGTGAACAATTACGTAATATAAAAATACCTTGAAACGTTTTACTTGTTAATATTGTTCAAAAGTGTGGTCCGATTAATTAAAACACCCTGCAACAAGGTTGGCCAATAAAAAAACATATAATAATATGCATGTATTTAACAAAATAGACCCATTAACTTCATATGACACCCGAGAGCTGTATATATTCCTGCTACATTTGGAGAGTGATGAATTCAGTGGAAAGGGAGTTAGATGCATGCATGTGTTTGTGTGTTTTTGTGTACTCACTCCAGGCTTCCTGGAAGCACACGATATTGACCCCACATATGGCCGCCACCTCCACCATCTCCCCCACGCGCTTGTGCAGAGCTGTGATCTGTGAAAGCAAAATGAGAATACTGAGCCAACAGTGTGATGAACTCAAATGGATAATACATATATGGAATTTGTTTTAGCATATGTACATATGGGCCTATCAGAGCCAAAATATGCTAGCTGGCCCTTATATGCACTGTGTTCTCTCACCTGTTCAAGTACAGGAGCATCAGTGGGTAGGACTATCTTGTTCTGAATGAGTCCCACGCGGACAGTTCTGGGTGGTCTGAGCTGCTCTGGAGAAGCCTCAAACACATAACCCTTCAGATCAAAATCTTGCTCCTCTGCTGCATCTAATGCACTCTGGGGAAGGTTCAGCTTCCTGAAAGGCATTACAATTTTAAATGTCAAACACTCAATAACTTCTATAGTCAAACAAATTGATTATAGATCAATTTCCAATCAGCAGCATAGAACAACCTGCTGGTTGGTCTGGCCAGAGGAGAACTGGCCCCCCGACCAAGGTTTTTTTCTCCATTCTGTCACCGATGGAGGTTTGGTTCCTTGCTGCTGTCGCCTCTGGCTTGCTTAGTTGGGGAAACTTATTTTCCAGCGATATCGTCGACTTGATCGCACAGATACTATTTAAACTGAACTGAGCTGGTTGATGACATCACTGAATTCATGATGAACTGCCTTTAACTGAAAATTGAGTGTTTACATGTCCTTTTGCATTATTGACACACTATTTTCCTATTTAATACTGTAAAGCTTTGACACAATCTGTATTGTTAAAAGCGCTATATAAATAAAGGTGACTTGACTTGACTTGACAAATAGGGAAGAGCAGGGATGATTGTAATGGTCTGGGATACATTTGTTTTTCAGTTAAGGTCGTATGAAAACAATGGAGCAGTGTATGAAGAATGTACAGAGAACAACCAAATCATTACCAGCAGTGCTATGTACCCTTGCGAAAATTAACCATGGTTTTATTATAGTAAAAGTGTAATAACCATGATTTTTTGGCATATTGATTACCATTTGAATAACCACAATTTTACTACAAATACCATGGTTAAACTATTAGTGTAGCAATACCATGGTTAAACTATGGTTAGTGTAGTTTATTTGTGGTTACCATGGTTTAAGTATGTTTTTTTGTAGTAAAACCATGGTTAATTTTCATAAGTGTTGATTTTAAAGTGTATTTCTCTGTCTATTTCAACGTGTTTTTAGGATTTACTAAGTATATCTGAGGCAAAACATGTTCTGAATAAGTTAGCAAAACCAAAAAGTTTTACAATTTCGATGCGGGGGAAAAATTATTTATTTGCTTGTTTGGCTATTGTCATGTAGCCAAGAAGTTCGCGTTATTATGTAATGTTTTGTTTTTTAGTTTTTGAAGAAAAAAAAACGCGAAAACGAAACCAAGGAAAAGGTTACTTGTTTCTATTCATGGGACATCTATGGGAATTATATCGTCATATACAGTTAGAGCATGTCAGATTTGGTCAAACTCACATCGTTGACATCAACGACATTCCCAGAGACCCCTCTGTGGCCAAAGTCCACCATAAATCATTTACTCAGTTTCAACCTAGATGTAGTTACGAAAATAAACTTCTATAAGAGCTCTCTTACATTTGGACAAGTGCTAACCGCTTGAACCTGTTAATCTCCTTAATTCTTTCAGATTTACCTAGTTTCACTGTACAGCATATTCATATCAAATTAAAGTCAGCCGTCATCTGTGTGTGCGCTGCAGCTCCCTCCAGTCATAACTGAGCTCTGCTTTGTAGTCTTCGTCTAGTGAACGCGCGTTTGTGACTTACTTCAGTTGTTTTCCGAACAGCAGTCTTCTGACTTCTCTGAGTTCAGCCTCAGGTACGCATGTCTCCAGAACCTTCTCTAGCGATTCAAAGTCTTCCCCAGACATTTTGAGCTGTCGTCCTCGTGCTCAGTTCGCAGACAGAGTGAATTCACATTACTATTTAACTAGCACATGTCCAGCTTTACCTTTCCAGCTCTTATGCAATCTGTTCAAGTGATCCCTACATGATTTGTTGTTAGCCTTCATGTATTACCAAGTCAAGACAGAACAGTTTCACATTTACATTTACATTTAGACACTTAGCAGACTCTTTTATCCAAAGCGACTTACAAATGAGGACAATGGAAGCAATCAAAACCAACAAAAGAGCAATGATACGCAAGTGCTATAACAAGTCTCAGTTAGCTTAACGCAGTACACGTAGCAAGGGTTTATTTAAATCATATAATAAATAAAAAGAAAACAGCTAGAATAGAAAAAGAATAGAGCAAGCTAGTGTTAGAGGCCTTTTTTGCTTTTGTTAATTGTATAATAAATAAAAAGAAAACAGCTAGAATAGAAAAAGAATAGAGCAAGCTAGTGTTAGAGGCCTTTTTTGCTTTTGTTAATTGTATAATAAATAAAAAGAAAACAGCTAGAATAGAAAAAGAATAGAGCAAGCTAGTGTTAGAGGCCTTTTTTGCTTTTGTTAATTGTATAATAAATAAAAAGAAAACAGCTAGAATAGAAAAAGAATAGAGCAAGCTAGTGTTAGAGGCCTTTTTTGCTTTTGTTAATTGTATAATAAATAAAAAGAAAACAGCTAGAATAGAAAAAGAATAGAGCAAGCTAGTGTTAGAGGCCTTTTTTGCTTTTGTTAATTGTATAATAAATAAAAAGAAAACAGCTAGAATAGAAAAAGAATAGAGCAAGCTAGTGTTAGAGGCCTTTTTTGCTTTTGTTAATTGTATAATAAATAAAAAGAAAACAGCTAGAATAGAAAAAGAATAGAGCAAGCTAGTGTTAGAGGCCTTTTTTGCTTTTGTTAATTGTATAATAAATAAAAAGAAAACAGCTAGAATAGAAAAAGAATAGAGCAAGCTAGTGTTAGAGGCCTTTTTTGCTTTTGTTAATTGTATAATAAATAAAAAGAAAACAATTAGAATACAAAAAGATTAGAGAAGCACAAGTTTTTTTTTAAGAAAACAAGCAGCTAGTAAATAAATAGAGTGCAAGTCTAAAAGGGGCAAGTTTTTTTATATAAAGAATAGAATTAGAATAGAGAGTGATAGAGTGTCAAAATAAAGATGGAAGAGATGTGTTTTTAGCCGATTCTTGAAGATGGCTAAGGACTCAGC